CGATATAAAGAACCTCCACATCAAGATAGCCTGGTGGCACAATATCTGCCCCATATAAGAGAGACGATGGGAGGACGAACACGAGCCTGCATGGTTTACGAATTTTAATTATTGACAATCTAAAGAACTTTTAATTAGCATCAAGGAATTTTATACAATTTTTTTAAAAACTTACATACCCAGGAAACTGCTGTGTTTGTGAAATGTTCTATTCTGTGTACTGTGTGCTGTAACATATAAGTGTACGTACTTTGCGTGTAAACAAATTATGTGATAGTGGTTTCCTATTTGTAGTGATGTTTACCCTCTGAAGATGGTCCACAGAGACCGAAACATGTAAGGGTGTTAAGTTTTTATGTAGTAAAAAACTTACAGGTCACATTGGACGGAGTGTTTTATAATTTGTTATTGTTATTGTGACGGACCAGAATGAAACAAAACAACATATTCTCTTATATTTCTTCATTCATTCAGTCATTCATCCATTAATTCATCAATGGCTCTACATTCCTTTGTTGGCTCCTGGCCTCTTTTTCAGTTTCGTAATTTTTTTACACAGACTGAAGGACTCCTTGGACAAGTGATCAGCTCGTCGTAAGGCCGCCACCTACACACAAGACAACACAAACACAGAATAAACGCAGAGACAGACATCCATGCCTTGAGCGGGATTCGAACTCACGATCCTAGCTTTTGAGCGAGCGAAGACGGTTCATGCCTTAGACTGTGCGGTCACTGCGATCGGCATTATCTTATATTCAAATTCAAATTACTGTCATATGTTGAGAAGATTTCCAGTTCAATTACATCAACTGTGAACTAACATTCGTGTGGGTCTACTCAGTAGCAAATTTGACTGTAGAAGAAGTTTTAGTTTCCACATAACGGATCCAAAATTATCGGGAAACCACGTTTCAAAGGTTGAGGTCAGTGATGGACTTTTGAATATGTTTATTACTTTAGTGACTAGAGGGATTTATTTAGATCCAAGAGAGAGAAAGCAGAAAGAAATTAGAAAAAATTGCATAAAGAAGCATCATAGTTTCTACTCTCCAGAAATTTTCCAAGTCTGTAACATTGATAAGAATGAAGTGGATGGACCGAGAGACGCGAATCGAAGATATGAAAACAAAATTTTGTAGGGAAGTTTGAAAGCAAGAGACCACTGGCAGATGTTAAGATATACCCCAGGAAATAATTTGCCTCAAAAGAAGTGTCAGTTGTAGAGTAATAAACCATCGGGATCCATAAAGAAAATATAATTTCTTTGCCAATTAAGCGACTGTCTGCTTCTCAAGACGAATTCTTCTTCGTAGAGTAAAGCTTTCGAAGTGACCTTTAGAAGTGTTAAGCGTGAAGTTGCTTCTCTCCGGGTTACAATTTATCGTCTACAGCTGACAGAGCATGAATGAAAGTGTTATGAAAACATGCGAAATTGAGAACATGGACTAAATTCCTCAGAGTCCAAATAAAGCAAAGAAAGTAACGACACAAATTACGTACCCAGAAGGATGACAGAATGATGTTCACAGTTACTCTTCTACCTTAGCATAGTCATTTGGGTTCCACTGGATTCTCAATAAAATATAACTTACAGTCTCCCCATTCTGACTCCGCTCCTATCGCCATATCAAATTTCGCCAACTTTTACAGAACCTACAACCTCACCACTTGAAAGTGACCTTTTTCGCTGCTCGTCTTATTACCTGGAATTTAAAGGTTTTAACATTCAAACGTGACCGGGTTATCAAAATGTGTGTCCTATTTCTTCACTGGCTACCTCTACAAAACAATATGTCGCTTTGACCCTAGGTTAACTATTTTCGTAATGATCCATGCGACGGCAGGGAAGTAAATGCATACACCTTGTCAAATAGTGTAAAAATGAAAATACCAAGCTTCATTTTACCAATCTTCGAAACAGGTTTCCTAATGTCTTGTGCTTTAGTCACGTTTATATTTATCATCTACGTGTATAGTCACGAGTTGGGCCATCTGACAAGTTCCGATTTATAATTTATTTTATAATTAAGTGAGACTCATACCTTAAGTGACAATTTCTATGAC